AAGCATTACGTCGCTTGTAAATTTTAATGCTCGATTGCGTTCTGCGAGGTGAACTCTGCCCTTTAGAATCTCACAATACTCATCGAGATTTCGTTCGATTTCTATATATCAAATTAATAAACAATATTACTGATAACATTGACATATTCGTGTCCACTGTTACTGGACATAAAACAAGCCTTTATAAGCTGTTTACTTAACACGTTGAATACCACGGAGGTCACCGGTGACCGGCGCTTAACTTGGCGGTGACGCCATGGGGTCCACCGGTGACCGGCGCGCCTAAATTGATAGAAATATATATAATTTCAAACAAATGTCAATATCTAAAATTTTGTATTATTACCATCGTCGATTCAAACAGTGACCCCTGTCGCAATTAACATGTCAAACATGGTTATACACCGTAACTTATCTATTGCAGATAATATTTCGACATTATATGTATCGCATAAAAGAAAATTCATCGTGGCGCCACGGGCAATTTCTGTAAAACCGGCGTGGCATTCAACGTGTTAAATGGCGATTCATTTTTATTCGACTCATCGGAACGAAGTAATCAATTACGTCCCGCGATCCTGCGTGGCAATGACGCAAGCACAACTTTCGCGGTACAATCGAGCTTCGTCGTTTCCTCTCGCTCGGTTCCCGACCGGAATCGTAAATTCGTTAGTTTATTGGCTTCCGTTTCCCTAGCGACGCATTCCCGGACGACGTCGAAGTCCGGGTTCGAAAGAAAAGAGTCTGGACAAAACTGGCTTAGAGGCTCGACGGGTTCGCCGCGCCGGGGGTTGCAATCGACGCGGGCTAAAACACGGTTTTGCAAAATCGATGCCGGTCCGATGACGCAGCCGGTAATGAGATTCCGACGAATTAGGGGGTCGATGGGACGAGATAACGGAATCGCGAGCGTTCGTGTTTGCGCTTTCGACTTTCGCCGAGTCGTGCGTGAAATCCGCTCCGAGGAATCCGTGACGATCCGGCCTGGAAAGGGTCGTTTATACCAATGCCGCGCCGCGCTGCGCCGTACAGTGGAGTATTGGATTCAAACAGCTGGTCAAAATACGATTTTTCAGATCCTGGGTAAGACGAAAAATTCTCGTTGTCTCAGCTGTTGGAATATATGAGCAATGGTGTTCCAGTATTATTGTTATCATTTATGTACAGTAAATATTGTACAGTAAATTTGAATTTTTTTCTGTCCAAAGTGGACAATTTGGGAAGAGGAGGCTCGAATAATCGTATCTTCTCTTCCCAAATTGTCCACTTTTGTGTATAAGCTGAGGGTTAATTCGGGAATATTTACTGTACTCATGTCAAAGTGAAGACATTTCAAAGACTTTTGAATCAAAATAAAGACTTTTGTTTTCTGAAATATCACTCGGTTATTAATTTTATATTATATAATTTAATTTTATATTATACAATTTAATTTTATATTATATAATTTAATTTTATATTATACAATTTAATTTTATATTATAATAATAATAATAATAATTATTATTATTATTATTATTATATATTATAATTTCATATTATATAATTCATGCGTTCACGGCAAAAATGAATGATCGAAATATAAAATTTTGAAGACATAAGAATTTCACAACTTTATTATACCACATCTTCAACTTATAAAAATTATTAAAAGGAACGGGGTATATCCTTATTTAATTTCCGTTTCTTATAATCTTAATATCTCCCTCGACATAACCTCGATATCGAACATACGCGCAAAGATCGCGGTCCAATTGCGTTTGCGTCACGTAATCGAAAGTCCGGTCTTTTATTCGGGAGAACCGTAAAAGAATTTATGCAGAGCACTGCAGCAAAGTGGAAAGTTTGCGGAGAGTAAATTAACGGCGGATAAATGACCGTGCTCGATCGCGGGAGGTCTACGGTGCGACGATAAAATGCTGTTAAATGATACTTTGGCAAGCGTGGGGCAACGGTGCCGTATCTCTGCAATCTCCCAAGCGTACGAACACTTTCCGGTTTGGTTTTTTTCCCGGCCACGGTTCGCATTATTTTCCGCGGATACGTATTTATTTGTGGTGACGCTCGTTACTTTTGACGTCGCATCCGCCGAAGCTAACGAGGATTGTTTGCATCCCTCGGAAAGTCGCCCCTTTTCCGCTCCACTCGCGAAAACAATGCGACGTATCGAGAGCCTCAATTATGAATCGGCCCTTTGAGTTTCGAGCTCTCCGGTTGCCCCTGCTATCGATTACGTTCGTTGTATTTTTACATTGAACTTCTCGCTCTCTCTCCCTCTCTCTCTCTCTCTCTCCCTATCTCTCTCTCTCTATCTATCTATCTATCTATCTATCTATCTATCTGTCACTACATGTCCCGTTGTTTTATTCCCACCGGCCTACAAAATGAAACGCATCGTTGATTCTTTCCTCTGTTCTCGCGTTCTTTCGACGCTTATCGCGTCGCTGTATTGCACCCTCGAAACTGGCGTGCAACTGCCATTTCACGGTGGATCCGTGTTTACCCTTTCAGTTTGCCGAACGTCGAATCCCCATTATTTTCGAAGAAATTTCGTCTCTGGCGTGTAACGCAAGTACAAGCATTACGGATTACATCTTGTTGCAAGCAAACGGACTGAATTGATCTTCGCGGAACAATGCCCTTCCTACGGCAACCAGGAGATTTCGGGATTATGGCGGTACAATCGGAAAACAATTGAACAACGCGTGCATTGTTTGGAGTAGATTTATTGGTGGCCGTACAATTGGGAGCTATTCAAGAGATATGTTTGCGATAAATGTACTCTAAGCATTATTTACACGGCCGGGATTATTCTCCAACTTTCCCAGCATGGTTTCTGGACCTTCGCGTGGACACTGTTTCAAACCGCACGACCCGAGCACTCTTATTAAAGTTCGCGAACCTCCCGGCCAGTGTGCGCATGCAGAGGACAGGGCGAGAGGATGACTGAATTCCGAAAGATCCTGGCGTCAGCTTTGCCGGAAGTCGAGACATGCAGTGCAGAACGCGGTCTCGAACGCCAACAAGCTACTTAGCTTTATCAGTAGAAATTCCCGTGATTTCTCAAATCCCGCTACATCCAGATATTTATACGTCACACTTGTGCGTCCACTGATGGCTGAAAATGTTTCGACTAAGAGATACGAATATTCGCAGGTACCATTTCTCTCAACTGTATCACATATGCTTTATTTGGAGTAGTCATTCACACATTTTTTGTTGTGAAATACTAAAATGTGATATTAACCCAAAGATGCGAAGAATATTTGCGTAATTTAAGATTAGTATATAATATTATTTAGTATAATAGTATTTAATATATAATATTATTTGGTATAATATTATTTAGTATAATATTATTTAATATATAATATTATTTAGTATATTATTTGGTATAATATTATTTAGTATAATATTATTTGGTATAATATTATTTGGTATAATATTATTTAGTATAATATTATTTGGTATAATATTATTTAGTATAATATTATTTGGTATAATATTATTTAGTATATGATATTATTTAGTATATAATATTATTTAGTATATGATATTA